GCTGTGAAGCAAATGAATAGAAATCAGAGTTTTTTTGATCAACCATGCAGAACTGTATCTGATTTAGCTGGCTAGGGGTAGACAGCCCTACAATATATCATTTAAATATAGCATGATAGGTTTCCTTTAAGGTTAGGATAAGTCTCCAGGAAATGCATGTAAGTCAATGTAATGTATACGTGTGTGTGTGTGTGTGTGTGTGTGTGTGTGTGTGTGTGTGTGTGTGTGTGTGTGTGTGTGTGTGTGTCCGGTTGGGTTGTTAAGTGTAGCTGACTCAAAAGAAAGTGAGCTCTGTGTGTGTTTGTGTCTTTGTGTTTGTGTGTGTGTGTCTTTGTGTGTGTGTGTGTGTGTCCACATCAGGTCTACAGGGGCTGATTGTTGTGATGTAATTAGTGCCGCTCTAATGAATACACTGATCTGTCTGACAACATCGCTCAGCTGGAGAGGAGGAAAACGGCATCAAGGGTGTGGCTACTGTACTGTCTGACTGCTAGCTGTAGAATCTGACCTTTGCATACAATATACAATATGTGTACAATATGTGTATGCAGCATATGCATGATACACGTGCTCTTTTTTTTTAATCTTTTTGCTTGGTAATATGTCTCTGTTGCAGTAGCCAATCACAAGGAAGTCTTGGGAACTTGATTAAAATGTCATTATGGGTACAGAAGTGGCCCTGAGGAGATGTTGTGAGAAGGTCACACATGTTGCAGCAGTGTGTATAATAATGTGATTAATCTGGGTTATTCTGCAACACCTGTCTCTGTAGTAACCCTGTATATGTGTAGAGAATTAAGGTTTGTATTGTGTGCAAAACTAGCACCTTGAAAATCCCAAATGACAGTGTGGTTGGTCTAACAAATCTACCTTACTTAGTTAGCGTTAAAGTGGCTACACTTGTAACGCCCTAAATGTAAATGTTGTTTCTATAAACGTACTCAGCTAAGTCTTGTTATCTTGGTGTTGCCAAGCCCAAATAACACTTTTTTTTTTTAGCAGCTGTGGATTTCTTACACCACTTTAAATGCAGCCTCTATAGGTTTCACACAGACATCGTTGGGTCAAACATATACTGAACGTCCTTGAGCTATATCAGCGGTTGCTATGTCATTAGCAAACAAACAAACCTCTCAGATTAGCTTCTTGACTGACGGCTTCTGTGAGAGTTGCTGTGGGAACCGTGAAGACGCCTGATTGGTGGAGAAGGTGTGCTTCACCTCTCCGTTATCTGCAATGTGTCAGGTGGTTCTTTCAAAGAGACCTTTACACCGTGTTGTTGGTGGGTTTTCCTCCTCAAGGCATTTCCATCTCATGTCAACCCTCCAGAGTCCCTGTTTGTTGTCATTTCAGCATCGTGCTTTCCTCGCCGCTGTCACAGCTCTGTTTTCCTTTTCCTATCTCCGCTCACTAATGATCCATATCATTGGGCTATCTATCATGGCACCCACCATCAATCCTTCCCTTCCCCTCCTCTCTTTTTTCTGTCACAATATGAGATTTGCGCTCCCTAAGGGAAACATGCACTGTGGCAGCACAAGAAGCTCATTACTAGCTATCTCAGGGACACACGTGCACTCAAACACACGCAGAGAGGCAATGGAGAAATTATGAACTGATGGAGTGATGAATTAGATTTGAGGCGCTTCTGCTTTGTGTTACAAGGCCATTAGCATGCTGCAAAGACAGACGAGCAGATAAAGCAACACGGAAAATGACGAGGAAGGAGAGATAGAGTGATAGATGAGTGGCATTGAGGTTGAAAGAGATGATGGGAAATGCCTCTAAACACAGAGAAAGAGATGGAGGGAAATATGGAGGTTACAAAAGAGCAGATGTACCGTTCGTTAGCTGCTCCAATAGCAAGGTTACTCTAGTAGCTAGGGCTGCTCAATTAACCGTATTTTAATCGGAATTACGATTATGGCTTGCAACGATTACGAAAACAACGTAATTAAAAAAAGAACGATTATTTTTTATTATTATAAAAAACAAAAAAATTTATTTTTTTTTTTTTATTGGTTTTTCAGTTGAATTAAACTTAAAGTTCAGGGTAATCAACTGTTAAAAAAAAAATCTCCAATAAATTGATGTTTTCAAAGTAAATGGATAATCGTTTTTGATAATCGTGATATCAATTATTGACCCAAATAATCGAGATTATGATTTTTGCCATAATCGAGCAACCCTACTAGTAACTGAAGGATAAAATGCTTATTTTGTCAACTTACTAACCATTGTACAAGATTTACTGACGTACGAAGTGCTAGCAACACAGCATATCATTCAAAAGCTAAGTACTGAAGCACAGGACCTGCATATTGGTACGCTAACTAGCTAGCAATAAGGCTAAGTTTCACTTTTGATTGTCTTAGCTAATATCATATTTTAGTCCCAGCTCTTAAGCGAACAATGTGTTCTGATACCATAGTTTTGGGGAATTATAATCATGTTTTTTGACATCACGTCAGCCTGAAGCATTACCACATTGGATTATTTGTTATGTCATGCAGTCTGACAGTTTCTGACTTCCATTTAAACGTTGGCATAACTCTCTCTTCTCTTGTGTAAGCTTGTGGTCGGTTGGTATTTACCATAGAGGTGACGTATGTTTCGTCTGAAATAAATATTTCCTTCAGGGCAGATTTCTTCAGTCATGCTGGAGAGACCCTGCCAAGTTTATCAAGTCAGGGAAACAACATACCTTTGTTGAGGAAAGCATTGAGTCTTTGGTCGTTGTCTGTTCTGTCTTTTTTATTATAGCGCTATTCATCAGCCGGCTCCTTATTTGGAGATAAACTGTTTTTACTCCCTCCCACTTTCCTTTTAGCACTTCTTCTTATATTTTGTGGTTGCAAAATAGCGTCAATAAAAAGCTCTTTACCCCTGACAGCTCTCAATGTTAATGATTACTTCTCGCCTTTTTTACAGCTTAATTCACTGTAAAACAAACCACTAAACAACCGAACACCATTCATCCAAATTACTCAAATTCAATTACGATTTCTCCCGAGTTTTATTGCCTTGAGGTGGAAAGGGAATCATTTACACACATTCAAGTTTGATACCCTTTTACTACCATTTCATTAACACTAAAACAAAGTTGTAATTCTTATTCACGCAACCTCTCAGGGATTATTTCAACATCTCTGATTCATGTTTACACGCCAACAGATCAGGTCACCTTTGTGCACAGTTGGTAGTGGCAGTGCATGTTGTGCAAGCTGTTTCATTGCAGATGACGTAAAGAACTTCGGGGGAATCGCGTGATAAATAGATGACCTTATTCACTGTGTCTGCTGATTACCGTGCGCCGGCATTTGTCCTTGAGGCTTTTCCAAAGAGCAGCATGATTCATGTCATATCCAAATTGTCTGGGACACATTATAATAGGGTTTACAGATACCCTCCTTCATGGGTTTTCTAACGTAGGTTATTGTTTCTATTTTATTGTGAAAAGTCAGCAATTTAAAAACCAAAATAGCTCAGTTCATAATTGTTGTTTGGAAATAAAACTCAACATCTCATCTCTGACACGATGTGAAATAAAATGACCATATTTTGAAGTCATTTGTTTATGTTCAAACCGAGAAAGTATCATCTTTGTCTGGATGTTTCTGATGGAAATTAATTCAGCAAATAAGTGCCAAGGTCCTAGCATTTGTTAATAAAGGATTGAATAACATTAAGACATGTCTTCTGACTAATCTAAAATCAAACTTTTTCGTTTTGTACGTCTAGTAAATATAGTTTCTTCGGCAGCCACATTTCGGTTTTAGGGAAATTATGTTTCCTCTTAAACATTTCTTGTTAATCCACTCCAGCTATATCCTCCTGTATGAATAACCCCTAGGGAGAAGTGACATTTCTGGTATGAAAACATGCAGGCAGCACACACACACACACACACACACACACACACACCGCAGGCTTGTCATTGCAGTTTGATGTAATGAAAGCTGCCATGCAGGAATGTTTTGGTGATAACGTGCAGGTGGAGGCAGCCAGTGGCGTGATCAGAGTCTGAGATTGCATCTGTGTGTGTGTGTGTGTGTGTGTGTGTGTGTGTGTGTGTGTGTGTGTGTGTGTGTGTGTGTGTGTGTGTGTGTGTGTGTGTGTGGTGTGTGTGTGTGTGTGTGTGTGTGTGTGTGTGTGTGTGTGTGTGTGTGTGTGTGTGTGTGTGTGTGTGTGTGTGTGTGTGTGTGTGTGTGTGTGTGTGTGTGTGTGTTGTGTGTGTGTCTGTGTCTGTGTCTGTGTCTGTGTCTGTGTCTGTGTCTGCATCCTCTTGTTGGAGAAATAAGGATCTCCATGGCGACCCTGATGTCCAATCTCCAATTGATTACCCATGGCGCATGCTGTCCTCTCAGGGCGTGTTCTTGTAAATAGAGATGGAGAGAAAATACGATTACATGAAATCCGTGTGTCAAATAAAATCACGCGTTCCTGCAGTGTTAATAATTTTCACACACACACACACACACACACACACACACACTGTATTACTTTTTGCCATTTACACACAAATACTGGACCTCAGCCAGACGTAGCAACCTCGTTTTCTTATTTAACAGATGCTATTTTTGTAAACACAAGGGAACATATTTCCAGAGGCATCCCGACACGATGAATTCATAATTTGCATTTCCGAACATTCATATATTTGTTTACCAGGGAGAGTTATCTAATGAGATAATGTTCATCTGCAGTGCCCGGGGAAGGTTATTAGAACAGTGGTCTTACGTTAATAATGACTGGAAGGTGTGTGATATTGCACAAATACGCTGTAAATGAACCTTTCTGTGAGAGTCTCACCTCTGCTCTCCTGTAAACACAATCTTAGTGACACAATCCAAACTGATCTCCTTCTGTGTGTGTGCTTCTCCAGGTAGAATAGCTGTCACTAGTAATTCAGGGTGTCTGGATGCACTAACATCTGTTATTCATTTCCTTCCCTCTCCTCCCATCCTTCCCCCTTTTGTCCTCTCTGTGTGTCACGACAGAAAAGTGTGAAGGAGGGGAATCCTCTTAAAGCAGACCAGTTCTTTTCAGAGATGGAAGAGGAGGTACTTCAAACTCAGAGGGAGGACACTCTACTACGCCAAAGACTGCAAGGTACAAGAGTGTTTGAAACGGCAGCTTTAAAATGTCAAATTTATAAGCACTGCACATACAAATCAAATCTCAAATTGGACAGAAATGAATATTAAGTGTCAGGGAAAAGTAAACATGTGATATATATTACAATACAACCCGTACACGTATGGGAACGGCAGGAGAAGCTGGTGTTTTAATTGTCGTGTTTTTCCCCCATTAGTCTCTGATTTTCGATGAAGTGGACCTATCAGACGCCAGCGTGGCCGAGACCAGCACCAAGAACATCAACAACAGCTTCACAGTAAGATACAAAACTGCTATCAAATGTTGATTAAAGCATTAAAAAATGGTTTATTTGGCTCAGTTTTCAATGGCCTGTTATGACAAAATTCCAAACTACAGTTACATTTTACCATTTGATTATCTGTGACAGTTTATCTAGTTGTATTTTTAGTTTATCTTAATAGGATTCATCCAAAACTTAAACTGTACCTAAAAAGCTAATGACATTCCCATGAGCCCACCAGTCTCATCTGTACATTGTGTTTAAGAAGCTAATACACACGTTTTAGCACGCTAGCTCAACATACGCATGTTCAACACAGTCTCACGGCATTTCGTGTTATAGTCACGAAATTAATCTATTGACTTCACCAACACGATTTCGCCATTTTTTTTGTGTCACACAGAACGATTTTAAAAGCAATGTAAATAATAACAAATTAGAAGGAAAAAGACATTTAAAAAAAAATACAGATTTCAGTATTCTGACACAGAACGATTTTAGAAGCAATGTATTTATATTGGTAGTATGTTTCGTGCCTGCACCAAATAATAACACATTAGAAGGGAAAAAAAGATGACATAAAATACAGATGTCAGTATTCTGAGGCTCTGAGACATTTCTTTTCCTCACTGACGGCAAAAAAACTCAGACATTATACAATTTAAAATAAAAGGGATAGGGTTAAGCTTAGGGTAAGATATTGAGTAAGAACATGTTTTTATGAACCACACAGCTTCTGGTCTTCCAAGACCCGACCGGACAAAAAGACGTGTTGCAGGCACGAAACATACTACCAATAGAAATACATTGCATTTAAAATCGTTCTGTGTGACACAAAAAAAAGGTGAAAATCGTGTTGGTGAACACGAATCAATAGATTACATTAATTTCGTGACTAATAACACGAAATGCCGTGAGACTGGGTTGGCATGTTAGCACTGTCTTATGAGTATGTTAGCATGCTGACGTTAGCATTTAGCTTCTACTAGCATGGCTCCAATATGTGATGCAAATGTCGACAAATTAATAACTGAAGTACCATGGATGAAGTCTTTTCAATTAGTTACCCTTCTTCCTCAGGTGATCACTCCATTTCGCAAACTAATGCTCTGTGCTGAGAGCAGGAAGGAAATGGAGGACTGGATCGGCGCTCTCAAGTCCGTCCAGAAATGGGAAACCTACGAGGTTAGCGTCTTAACATTTCTGATATTGTTATTTATTCTGCGCTTACACCTTGAAAATCCTCAGGACACACCTATTATAAAAAAGCTAGTGAGTTCTCCATTCTTCGCCCATTAGTTATTTTCTCAACATATCGTCCTGTTCTGCTTTCTTGGAACAACATACTCTCTCCTTCACTTTTCTCTTATGTACTTTTCACTTGATGAATATTGCTCATAAACCCTTGTTTTTGAAGGTGCTATAAAGAGAGCCGTAGACTGTAAGCTGCCATTAATGCTGAAATTCTCTCATTCGGTTTCAATGTTTCTCACATTTAGGAGTTTGCCGTTATCTTGTTAGTCGTTAATACTACTTCAGGAGCACTTATCAAACTGAGGATGGCATATTCTCAGAACAAATCCTTTTTACAGATCTGACATTTTGATATCTCTAGCTGTGAACACTTTCTGAAAAGGAGGAGAGTGGATCATTCTGTTTAGGGAGGTTAATTGCCTTGTCAGCTGTAGTGAAGTTATCATCGTCCCAATCCCGAGGCAACAACGTTTAATGGGTACTGCTGGTGTCATTATCAAATCAAATCTAATAAAAATATATTATACCAAATCACAAGAAATGCCTCAAAGGGCTGTACAAAGCAAACAAAAGCAAAGACAAAAATGTAAAACAAACGTCTTAGTATAAGAATTATAAAAACTAAATACAACATTATACATCAACATAAGTATTGCCATGTGATAAAAGCATGTGATGGAAATCCATGCTTCCTCTGGCTATGTAGTCCAGCGTGAAATACAAAGAGTCATCGCCCCATCCTGCAATATCTGTCCTCCCCCAGGCTACATATTCTGACGTAGCGCTCGGATGACTTTTGTGTCTGTGTTTCCACCTTCTGAATCTAGCCAGTTTAACATGAAGCGCTGTCGTCTCTTTCTTCCTCCTCCTCCTCCTCTTCCTCCTCCTTCAGGCCAGCCAGTTCAACATGGAGCATTTCTCCGGGATGCACAACTGGTACGCCTGCTCTCACGCCAGACCGACCTTCTGTAACGTCTGCCGGGAGGCTCTGCCAGGCGTCACCTCCCACGGCCTGTCCTGCGAGGGTACATACACACACACACACACACGCACGCACACACGCACAACACATGCACACACACACACACGCACACACACACACACACACACACACACACACACACACACACACACACACACACACACACACACACACACACACACACACACACTAGTTCCTGAACAGTGTCCTTCACATGCTGATATACAAGAGTGGGACTTACACAGTCACAAGATGGAGGAATACCGGTTCTTGTAGGTAATCATACATCTTTTTTCACAAAATGTTGGCTTTTTTCTGAAAATCTCCAAATTCAAATTTTTCTTCTGAAAATTCTCAAAAATAAATTCTCTAAATTCTGACTTTTTTCTCAAAATTCTGACTTTTTTCTCAAAATTCTGACTTTTCAAAAAATTCAGATTTTTCTAAAAACCTCAAAATTCTGACTTTTATCAAAAATTCTGACTTTTTATCAAAATTCAGACCTTCATCTCAAAATTCGGACTTTCTCAAAATTCTGACTTCTCAAAATTCTGACTTCTTCTCAAAATTCAGACTTTTTCTCAAAATTCAGACTTTTTCTCAAAATTCAGACTTTTTCTCAAAATTCTGACTTTCTCAAAATTCTGACTTCTTCTCAAAATTCTGACTTTCTCAAATTCTGACTTCTCAAAATTCAGACTTCTTCTCAAAATTCTGACTTCTTCTCAAAATTCAGACTTCTTCTCAAAATTCTGACTTCTTCTCAAAATTCTGACTTTTTCTCAAAATTCTGACTTCTGAATACTTAAAAATGTTAATAATCACTGGTCACCGGCTTGAGCTTCAATCTCAGGATCCATGTATTTGTGATCCTCTCCAGAATGGAAGTAGTCATCACATACAGAGCATCAACTAGTTCCTGAACAGTGTCCTTCACATGCTGATATCCAAGAGAGGGAGTTACACAGTCACAAGATGGAGGAATAGAAAGCAGTATTCAATGTTTACTTCAGATTAGCTCCACGTCAGAAATGATCATGCTTGTCCTATGTCTATCTCCATAGAGGCTGAATCATCATGTTAATCACATAGCTATCATATGCCTCAAACAGTCCTGATGCTCTTCTAGGTAATCATACATCCTGTCATGTACACAGCTACAGTTGGGATACCTTTGTTATCATGTTACTCTCATGTTGGAAGAGGACATTCAGTATTTTCCCAACACTAAGCAGTCATGTTTAAATGTACCGTGCTGTTACATAAATGTCCCTTTTCCTGGCAGTCTTCTAGAAAAGTATTTCGAACACGTGACTGTGACAAGACAGTTAATAACTTCTTCATTATTGCAGCATGAGGAACGTTTCGTGACTTCCCAAGCAAATCATGCATTTGAATTGTCATGGATATTTATTTAACGATGAAATAACGATGAAGTTTATTGACCTCTTTCCTGCAGTTTGCAAGTTCAAGGCTCATAAGCGCTGTGCAGTCCGCTCCACCAACAACTGCAAATGGACCACACTGGCCTCCATAGGAAATGACATCATTGAGGATGAGGAAGGGGTGAGTTATAACTCAGTGAGAGAAGACCTGTCGACAAAAAGAAAGCTTACATTTCATTTCCGAGCGGATAAACTTACAAGACTAAATATAACAACTGTGATGTATTTAGTAATCCAGGATCAGAGATGGCAAAAGTACACACATCCTTTACTCAAGTAGAAGTACAGATGTTAAAAAATACTCTGGTAAAAGTAGAAGTACTGACTAAACTTCTTTACTCAAGTAAAAGTAAAGAGGGCTTTGAAATGTACTTCAGTAAAAAGTACCCATAACTAGCAGCTGTTTTAAAGAGTACCTGACCTCCCTTTATATTAATAGAACAATAATGTCATTGTTAGCTAATGAATGTTTCCATGCTGAACAACGGCAACATGACAACGTTTCATTGGTCCCTCTTCTTTAGAGAAGACCAGGAATGATGGATACACGGATCGTGTTCAAATCAATAGGCACGCAATGACTCTAAATAATAATGATCACGCCCACCAAACACACATTCAAACTAAAGGAACCAGCCTGTTTGGGAAATGTGAGAAGTAGAAAAGTACAGGTATTTGGGTTCAACAATGTAAGAAGTAGAAAGTACAGGTATTTGTGTTCAACATGTAAGAAGTAGAAAGTACAGGTATTTGTGTTCAACAATGTAAGAAGTAGAAAGTACAGGTATTTGAGTTCAACATGTAAGAAGTAGAAGTACAGGTATTTGGGGTTCAACATGTAAGAAGTAGAAAGTACAGGTATTTGAGTTCAACATGTAAGAAGTAGAAGTACAGGTATTTGGGTTCAAAATGTAAGAAGTAGAAAGTACAGGTATTTGAGTTCAACATGTAAGAAGTAGAAAGTACAGGTATTTGGGTTCAAACATGTAAGAAAGTAGAAAGTACAGGTATTTGGGTTCAACATGTAAGAAGTCAGAAAGTACAGGTATTTGGGTTCAACATGTAGAAGTAGAAAGTACAGGTATTTGGGTTCAAAAATGTAAGAAGTAGAAAGTACAGGTATTTGTGTTCAACATGTAAGAAGTAGAAAGTACAGGTATTTGTGTTCAACATGTAAGAAGTAGAAAGTACAGGTATTTGGGTTCAACATGTAAGAAGTAGAAAGTACAGGTATTTGTGTTCAACATGTAAGAAGTAGAAAGTACGTATTTGGGTTCAACATGTAAGAAGTAGAAAGTAGTACAGGTATTTGTGTTCAACATGTAAGAAGTAGAAAGTACAGGTATTTGTGTTCAACATGTAAGAAGTAGAAAGTACAGGTATTTGGGTTCAAAATGTAAGAAAAGTCATCAGAAAAATAAGTAGTGGAGTAAAGTACTGATACCAGAACAATGTACTTAAGTACAGTAACAAAGTATTTGTACTCCACTACTTCCCACCTCTGATCCGGATACAAAAAGCACTTTCTGTAGATGTTTGAATACAATCATTTCCTCCCTGATTTGTCATACCTGAGCACACTGATGTCTCATGTTCTGAGTATTTTTTGCACATCTTCCCCAGGTGGTCATGCCCCACCAGTGGCTCGAAGGCAACCTGCCAGTCAGCGCTAAATGTGTGGTGTGTGACAAGAACTGTGCAGCGTGCGGCGGCTGCAGGACTGGCAGTCTGCCTCTGTGCAAAGCCATCGTGAGTCCATTGATTCGGCCTTCCCCCCCTGTCACAAAACTGTCCTGTCAAATCAGCGTTAGCATTTATCTTTCCAACGTCACTGCTAGCTCAGTTTAGAGGTCGCCCAATGAAGTTTTCACATGGATTTATCATAACACAATACAGCTTTATTTATAACGCACTTGAAAACCTCCAGACCAAAGTCTCACAGCACAGCTCACACACCATAAGTAAAAACAGTAGACAATTTAAATGCAATAAATGCAACAATCTAAAAGATGTCAATACGCTAAGGAGAAGACATACATGTATTGATCTGCATGGTAAACAATATCTTTGAAATGTCCCAAATGTGGACTTTTAGTAGCTTTTTCTAAATGCAAAAAACAATTATCTGGGATAAAACTGGAAGTGTGAGAATACCTTCAGAATAAAAGTGAATTCTCGTCTCAAGCGAGATGAGGAGAATAACGTTCCTGGGCAAAAAACTAAATTCTCTCGACTGTAATGCATATAATGAAAAAGCAAAGTAAGCTACATTTTATGGACTTCACTTTAGTATCAGTACAAAAGACAGCATTCATTTCAAAATCCAGCAGCACGGCTCAAGGGAATTGTCCTTTAAGACACAGAGATGTAATTTTACTCTGCCTCTCAGTTCCACTTAGCAAAGGCTGAATTGCTTTTGTGTGTTCAGGGCAAATGAACACACATTAATAATCTAATCCACAGCACACACACACACACACATCCACACACACCCACACACACACCCACCCACACACAACACACAAACACACACACAACCCACACACACACCCACCCCCACACACACACACACACACACACACACACACACACAACACACACAGGCAAGCACACGTACAAATGAATCAGAGTGGTATTTGTGAAGGTTACAGAACTGACATTTCGTCGGTTTCAGAGGGATATAACGACCTTTCTGCTTCTACTGAAATATAGAATTACTATGGAGACCGCTGACAGTGTGTGTGTTTGTGTGTGTGTTTGTGTGTTTGTGCGTGCAGGTCCACAACAGCTGTAAAGAACAAATGGGGAAGGTGTGTCCCCTGGGTCAATATCGAGTGTCAATCATCCCTCCCACTGCACTTAACAGCATCGACTCAGATGGTGAGACACCCCTCACACATGCACCATCACACACACAAACACACACACACACACACATATATAGACATTGATTCAGGCTCTTTTGTCCATAATATTGCACACAGCAGGTTCAAAGTGCAGAAATGTCATTTTTCATCTCCAGTGGGGTCTATATTATGTGCAAAGGTAGAAAAAAAACAAGGGGCTGTTGCAATGTAAAAAAAACACCCAACTATAAAGCTTTATATTTTAGCACGCTTAGTAATACATGTTGCACTTGAACAGATTCATATTTTGCAACATGTTGAAAGTTCTTTAGGGCAGCATTGTCTTATTTCTACATATTATGGATATTTAAAAAATACACACAGTTCTCCAGCTTGTTCAACATGTATTCAACAGAGAGCTAAGATAAGATAAGACTTTATTTATCCTGAAGGAAATGTGTTTTTTCCCATTTTCTTTACCATTAAAACCTTTGTTATTCATTTTTCTTTCAGGCTTCTGGAACGCCACCTCGGCCTCGTGCTCCAGCCCTCTCCTGGTCCTCGTGAACTCTAAAAGCGGAGACAACCAGGGGGTGAAGTTCCTCCGAAAATTCAAGCAGCTTCTCAACCCGGCTCAAGTCTTCGACCTGATGAACGGAGGACCAGAGCTCGGGTACATAATCCCTTTATAAATAATCGAATAATTGTTTTCGTCTGAGTCATCAAAGGTGTATTCACAAATTGTCATAGTACGGTACTTAGAAGCAGCGATGGCAAAAGTGCACACATCCTTTACTCAAGTAGAAGTACAGATACTCGTGTTTAAAAGTACTCTGGTAAAAGTAGAAGTACTGACTAAACTTCTTTACTCAATTAAAAGTAAAGAAGTATGGGCTTCGAGTAAAAAGTACCCATAACTAGCAGCTGTTTTAAAGAGTACCTGACCTCCCTTTATATTAATAGAACAATAATGTCATGTTAGCTAATGAATGTTTCCATGCTGAACAACGGCAACATGACAACGTTTCATTGGTCCCTCTTCTTTAGAGAAGACCAGGAAATGATGGATACACGGATCGTGTTCAAATCAATAGGCACGCAATGACTCTAAATAATAATGATCACGCCACCAAAACACACATTCAAACTAAAGGAACCAGCCTGTTTGGGAAATGTGAGAAGTAGAAAGTACAGGGTATTGGGTTCAACACTGTGAGAAAGTAGAAAGTACAGGTATTTTGTGGTTCAACATGTGAGAAGTAGAAAGTACAGGTATTTGTGTTCAACATGTAGAAGTAGAGAAATACAGGTATTTGTGTTCAACATGTGAGAAGTAGAAAGTACAGGTATTTGTGTTCAAACATGTAAGAAGTAGAAAGTACAGGTATTTGGGTTCAACATGTAAGAAGTAGAAAGTACAGGTATTTGGGTTCAACCTGTAAGAAGTGAAAGTACAGGTATTTGTGTTCAAAATGTAAGAAGTAGAAAGTACAGGTATTTGTGTTCAACATGTAAGAAGTAGAAAGTTCAGGTATTTGTGTTCAAAATGTGAGAAGTAGAAAGTACAGGTATTTGGGTTCAAAATGTAAGAAGTCAAAGTAAAAAGTCGTCAGTAAAATAGGTAGTGGAGTAAAGTACTGATACCAGAAACATGTATTTAAGTACAGTAACGAAGTATTTGTAAAATGAAGCTCTGTTCACTAAAACCTCTTGAAAATGGTGTTGGAATAAGAACATTTGTGAGTTGTCTTGATCTGATCTGAGTTGGATTTTTAAACTGCTGCCCCGGAAAAATACGTAACTTTTAATGGCACTTTCCTAAAGGGGATGTTTTGGCATCAGTAATCTCCAGACTTTGTGGAATATGTACAGAATTAACCGACGGAAAAATAAGTTTGCGATGTTAGTGGGAAAACCAAAACCATACATAATGAAAAATAAGCTCAGATGCAGCTGAAAAGTCTTTTTTCTTTCAGTAGTGGGAGTTTGTAGTCCGTCACGACTGGTTTAATGCATGCTGTAATTGTGCTGCCTTTTCATGACATGTACCTCTTAACACTGTGTGCTCTTCGTCCTCCTCTCCCTCCCCTCAGCCTGCGCCTTTTCCAGAAGTTTGTGACATTTCGTATCCTGGTGTGCGGAGGAGACGGCAGCGTGGGCTGGGTGCTCTCAGAGCTCGATAAACTCAACCTCCATAAACAGGTGAGTGCAGGAAGGAGGAGGAGGAGGAGGAAGAGGGGGGGGGGTGGTGATATAATAGTCAGGTAATTGTCAAAAACACTGAAGGCAAGAGAAAGCAGCAAGATACCTATAATGTTGATGATAAAAAGCTCTATTAGAACTAAAGTACGACACATTTTGTAATATGTCCAAACTACGGCCCACGGACCATTTTGAATCGGCCCTCACACACAAAAAGTATAATGACTTAACTATAATAAACTTCTGCTTGTCTTATATTGTACTTCTTAAATATATATGTAAAAATATATTACACAGTATTCATGTATGAGGCGATATACCTCTAGTGAGCGGCCCAGCTCTTCGTATGTTTTTATAAATAAGGTGTTATTTAAAAAATAGGTTATGCCTCACTACCACACTGATTACCTCATCTAATTAAATAATGTCATGGATTTAATCTGACTTAATAACGGATGCCATGACGGATAACATCGTTTTTCATTTGAAAACACAAGTGCCGTGTCAAAAAGGTTTGAATAATTGAAGGTCATATTTGATTAAAGAAACAAATTTGTTAATGTTGGGGGTACCAAGTGTGATGTTTTTCACTTGTATTCAAGATTGGACCTGACTGTCTCCTACGGTCACAGTCTGCAGCACCGCGTTCAGCTTTAAGATGGGAGTGGAAATGACCCGTTAGTTTCCTGATGACATGTGTGTTCTCGGTGTTGCAGTGCCAGCTGGCGTGCTGCCGCCTTGGGCACGGGCAACCGACCCTGGCCCGCGTGCTGGGCTTGGGTGGGGCTCTGCGACGACGACGCCCATCTGCTGCAGATACCTGAGAACCTGCGATAGCCACCACCTAAGATGCTGGAGCGCGTTGATACCTTGAGTTGAAGAAAAGCAACCTATTGCCTGCCCCTTTTTCTAGCACTATTTAGCACAATTAAGCACCGTTTAGCACTAGTTGCAGTGAAGTTTAGCACACGTTTTAGTTTAGTTTAGCACCATTATTAGCACCGTTTAGCACCATTTATTTTTAACACTGTTCATCAGCATTGTTCGCACTATTTAACACAATTTAGCACACTTTTTAGCACCGTTTAGCACTAGTTGCAGTGAAGTTTAGCACCATTATTAGCACCGTTTAGCACCATTTATTTTAACACTGTTCCTCTCCATATTTAGCACTGTTTAGCTGTATTCTTAGCACTGTTTAGCATCATATTTAGCACTGTTTAGCATCATATTTAGCACTGTTTAGCATCATATTTAGCACTGTTTAGCATCATATTTAGCACTGTTTAGCATCATATTTAGCACTGTTTAGCACCATTTTAAGCACTGTTTTTAGAAGCAGTCAGCACTTTCTTTTAACACCATTTATCAAAACGTTTTGCACCGTTACGGGACATTTTCAGAAGCGTTTGGCAACATTTATAGCACAGTTGTTTTGCACATTTTTAAAAGCTTTCCTGACATGTTCCTCTAACTTGAAAGCAAAATCCTTTTCAAGCAACAAATTAACAGTATATCACTCAAATAGGGTAAAAAAACACATCCTATCTGTGTTCAACATGTTGAAAACGTCTTTGATCTAGAAATAGATTTTCTTTTGATTCCCTGGGTGTTTCTCAATGTCGAGGACGCTTGGTTTGTAGCGAAGAGTGGTGGAACAGGCTAACAGGTGTGCAGGTGTGCGTCATATGCGAGGCCTCGCCTTAAATGGAGCGCGATTTCCGCCAAAGATTTGGAAATTGGTCCGTGCGCTAAGCATTGTGGGGATTTTAAGACCGCGGAGTCGTCTAAAACATGTGCTGCCTCGAAATGTCTCGCTATACGAAGTACGCCGGCCTCGGTAGAATTCCAAGTATGCTGGACATTGGAACAGTCCTTCGGCGGCACTCGATGACGTAGTAATAGTGGCTCTGGAGCAGCCTTCCTCGACATTGAGAAACACCCACAGTGTCCTCTCCTCCTATCTCAATCTGATACTCCGATTTAAAAAAAGTGTATATTCTGTCGCGTGACATTGACACAGGTGTGTGTTTTGTGTTCAGATGGAGTGTGATGACGTACGAGGTGCCCACCACCACCAAACGCACCCCGACGGTGAAGGAAGACGACAGCCTCGATTCTCCTCTACAGGTAAATTACTTTCGGGAAGCTGTCTGCCTTTTGACAGATGGTGTCCATAAATTAGCTGCCAGATCTCCACAGCTCCAAGAAAAGACTTTGGAAGACATCCACTGAGGATCAATTGAACCTGGCAGCTGGCAGCCGAGGCAATCAGCCCTAAAGCAGAGGGGGGGGGTTAGAAACTGACTGAGAGCTGGTCTGTATTTTGATTTGAAGCTGCTTCAAACCTCTCTTTCTGGTGGTTTAAGGGCATGCTTTTATTACAGCATGATAATGCACTTTCATAGCCAGTTTTTATCCACTAATTCATTCATTGCCTTCGTGAATGGTTGAGCTAAAATGGAGTGTTCTTCCAGTTTAAAGGATCTCATTAGTCATTTGTCAATTAGTTAAAAGGTATTTTTTTGGCTGACTGCGTTATGTACAAGTGGATCAAATGTGCTGTCAGTACTTAGACTATTCTGTCTTTATTTGACGTTTTCAAATGACTGATTCAGGCATAATAAACCAGACAAATAAATGTTTCTGCACCACAACAGAAACAATACCTACCATAAAAATGTGTTTGTAGATATTCTAAGAAATACTATCACTCTTCAGATCTGTTATTTTTATGAAAAAGTGCATTTCATTTAAGTTACATGATTAACTGTTTATTAATATCACATTTCCAGACCTCAGCTAAGGGTACACGGACGGAGATTTATATCCAGTCACATGGCCAATGTGCGACCAAAAGTACTGCTGATGAAAATGTCAAGACCTACTTTAAAAGAGTCTTCCCTACTTGA